GATTATCTTCTGTGTCTGTGTTAATTGGTTTCCCTTTTCTTTGTTGAAGAGGGTCTGTGCAATCCTTCTGCCTAGTCCGCCATCTTGCCCCGCCTCCTCCCATTAATTTTTTTTTAACAGAAAAGACCTGTCCCACCTGTGAGCCACTATGTTGCACACCTCTCTAATTTTCCAGATGGAATTTATGATATATACAAACTCTACTTCAAGTTACCTGTGACTGGAAACAAAGAGCTTCATATCTTCTCTAACTAATTCTTTACCATATCCCCTCACTATTGGTTACTTAATCACATATCTTGGAACTTCAAATGGAACTTCAACTTTGTAGAAGTAAATTTTACTGTTATGATATCCATTAGATGGGCTTTTGTGGAACAAAGCAGAGCTTTCCTATGGAGACATTAGAAAATGAGGAAAAGATAACATACTAGATTCTGAAATGTTTAAGGTTAGTTGCAGAAAAGAACAGTAGAGGGTATATGTGCATGAATAAAAAATATCTCTGTCAGAAATATGAGAATATCAATGTAGTTAGCAAAATTTTTAATCTGAGGTCAGAAGAGGCAGACCTAACCCCACAAAGATCACTAAGGAAGAGGTGGGACAAGAGGCCAGTTTTTGAGCACACCTGAAATGACTTCCTTCTTTCAATAATGAAAAGTATAGATTTTTTTGTGTGAGAGAGAGATTTTAATATGGAACTCATCCGGAGTATTTGCATAATTTTGATTCCTGCCTGAGCAGGAGGAGCCACTATAAGAACAAACCAATTTGGATTGTGTGTGTGTGTATGTGTGGTGTGAATGTGTGTACAGTGTGTACATGTAATGTGCATATGATTTGTGAGTGAGTGTGGTGCATATCTGTGTGGTGTATGCATGTACAGGTGTACATATGTATGTGGGATATATGTTTGTGTGTATATATGTGTGTAGTTTGCGTGTTAAGTACGCAAGTGCTTCTGTCCATCTGTTTCCATTTATACTTTGCATAGGAGACCATACATAGGATAAATACATTTGTAAACATAGAAAAGAGAAAGTTGTTTTAATATTTCATATTATATTTTTACTTTTTCCTTTGTAGAATTATAGAAAATCATCATATTGAATAAAAATACAAATACCTAGATTCTCTGGGGCAGAAGAGACCATGAATTTTATTTCCTAATCTAACCATTCTCCAGTGCACTCCTTAAAACATCATTCAGCTACCTGAAATTATCTGCAAAATATGCAACATATCTTGTAAAATAAAATTTTCAAAATATGAGAAGTTATAACATATCTGGTGATTAAATACTTTCAGTGATCAATAACCCATTATTCATGAAAATAGTCCCTTTTTTTTTTTTTTTTTTCGGATAACAGTTACAGTTAGAAAATTCTTTGTTATGGCCCTAGGAGTACCTTATTAAGACATATCCAAATATTTTCTGCTTAAAGAAACATCACAAAAAAAATTGCTGGTGACATTTATACTAAATCCCAAAAGATCTGAACCTGGTCAAATGTCATAAATGTTCTTTATTATTATTATAAGATACTACAAATGCCATATTTTAAACATAATAAAAACAAGTTTTTCGTAATGGGATGACTTTTGGTATCTTACTAAATATTAAAGCCACGTATTAACAATGGAATGTTGTTATTGTTAGGTGCCTTCACGTAGGTGCTGATTCATGGTGACCCTATATGTACAACAGAACGAAACAGTGCCCAGTCATGTGCCATCATCTCAATTTTTGCTACACTTGAGCCTCTCATCACAGCCATAGTATCAATCAAAAGTTTTTCCCCTTTTTTGCTGACCCTCCATCTTACTAAGCATGAGATCCTTTTCCAAAGACTGTTCCCTTCTGACAACATGACCAAAGTATACGAAACAAAGTTTAGTCATTCTAGCTTCCAATGAGCATTCTGACTGTACTTCTTCCAAGACAGATTTGTTCATTCTTCTGGAAGTTCATACTATTTTCAATATTCTTTGCCAACACCATGATTCAAATGCATAATTTCTTTTTCAATCTTCCTTATTCATTAACCAGCTTTCACATGCATATGAGGCTACTGAAAATACCATGGCTTGGTATTTTAATCTTCAAAGTGACATCTTTACTCTTCAACACTTTAAAGAGGCCTTTTGCAGCAGATTTGTGCAATGCAATATGTTGTCTGATTTCTTGACGGCTGCTTCCTTAGGTACTGATTGTGGATCCAAGTAAAATGAAATCCCTGACAACTTCAATCCCTTCTTCATTTATTGTAATGTTGCCTATTGGTATAGTTGTGAGGATTTTTGTTTTCTCTATGCTGAGGTATAATCTATATAGAAAACTGTAGTCTTTGATCTTCCTTAGTAAGTTCTTCAAGTCATCTTCACTTTCAGCAAGGAAGGTTGTGTCACCTGCATATCGCAGGCTGTTAATGAGTCTTTCTCCAATCCTGATGCCACATTCTTTACATAATCCAGCTTTTTGGATTTTTCCTCAGTATACAGATTGAATAAGTCTAGTGAAATGCTACAACCTTGATGTCCACCTTTCCTGATTTTAAAACATTCAGTATTCTCTTGATCTGTTTGAACTACCATGTGCCGGTTCATCATGAGTGCAATGAGCTATTCAGCTGTAAAAAGGAATGAAGTACTGATACATGCTACAACATGGATTACCCTTGAAAACATGCTATGTGGAAAACAAAAAGCCATAACCAAAAATCCATGTATGTATGATTTCATTTATATGAAATATTCACAATAAGCAAATCCATAGAGACACAAAGTAGATGGATGGCTGCCAGGAGCTGAGTAGGGAAGGTATGGGAAGTGACTGCTAATGGGAATTGGGGTTCACTTTGGGACAATGAAAATGTTCTGGTACTAGTGATGATAGGTTGCACAACCTTGTGAATATACCAAGTCATTGATTTTTATACCTTAAAATGACTGATTTTATGATATTAAATCACATCGCATCTGAATTTAAAAAAAAAAAATTATCTTAAAATGTTGGCCAGTCACTGTTATCAAAGGGACTCTGAACTCAATAAAACAGCCAAAATAAATATTTACTTTAGCTCTGTATATACTAAAGATTATACAGTGAGGGATGAGAAATAATTTATGAATATAAATTCTACAAAAAAAATCCCTCATTACTTTTTGAACCATGAAAAATGTCAATGTCTTTTTTTATTTTATAGGGAACGGTAAGTTTATTTCATATTACTTGTAATTGAAATTACAAAAGGTCAGGAGACTTCAAATCCACAAATGTGATTAGGAAAGAAAAAAACACAAGTTAAAAGTGTTATTAGAGTCTATTACATATTCCCCAGATTTCCTTAGGCTTCCCCTAAAACACGTGGATTGTATTCCATCTACTTGATATACTTTTGTGTATTCCAGTGACAATAACACATTCTTCACGGAGCTCTGGTCACATACTGCCTAAGGCACTTGACTGCTAATCAGAAGCCTGGCGGTTCAAACCCACCTGCCACTCTTCGGAAGGAAGGTTGGGCAATCTACTTCCATAGTGATATTACCCTGGAAACCCAAGAAGGGGTTGCCAAAAGTCGGGTCTGACTCGGCAGCATATAACAACAACAACAACAACAGAAAGTGAAGTGAGATTACTTTAATGTCAGGCTAATTTTGGAAAGATAACATTACCTAGAGAAAACATTATGTTTTCAGATCACAAATTCAAATATAGTATGTATAAGACATATCATCTACCTAGGAATATCAAACAATCTATATGGATCATCATCATAAAGACATAAAATCTTACATTATTCTTTACAATAGGATTGATTTCACTGTCATATGTTATTCAACTTTTGTACTGTTACCATGTTAGAAACTGTACATGTCTTGTCTCTTTAGCTGTACTGTAAGCTCCAAAGGCTATATATGCTGTATACAAATCTTCATTTCTTAGATTAAGCCTAATGATAATGTCTTACAGAGCAGGTAGGGGCCTACCATCTAACCCAAACCAAACCAAACAGTGCCATCAAGTCAATTTCAACTCTTAGTGACCCCCTTTTGAGTTTCTGAGGCAGTATCTCTATGGAAATAGATTGCCCAATCTTCCTTCCAAAGAGCAGCTGGTGGGTTTGACTGCCAGCCTTTTGGTTAGCAGTCAAATGCCTTAGGTACTATGCCACCAGAGCTTACAGAGCAGGTAGGGGCCTACCACCTAATATGTGTTAAAGAAATATTAATGAAGTAATTTGCTCTCATTATCTAATTCTCTATGGCAAAGCTTCTTTACATGGATTCATACCACACTGGATTGTCTGTGATTGAATTGGCCACAAAATTACCAAAAATATTAAAATTATTATATTCATTTCTATCACTGTGATGACACCTAGCTTTATTATGTACATACACACTATGAAGGAAAAAAAAAAAGTACTGTAATACTCACAGTTGTAACCAGGTGCAATATGGTGTTGAGCTTCCAGGCTAGCCAATGTGATATGGAAAATGATGTGCAGCAACAGGAAGGAGAAACTGGTGAAGCACAGAGACTTTAATAGTCTCCCTGTATGTCCTAGGGATTAAAGAACAGAGGTGGTGAGAGAGCATAAGCTGAAGCACTCCCATTATGCTCCCTTGTAAAGTCTGTCATGGAAACATTTTTCTGTATATTCTTTTATTCAGATGGACTAAAAAAGTATATGAAACATACCAATTATTCTTTTAATTATCAGTCTGTGGCTAAAAGTTATCTTAGTTTCTTTGTGAAATGATACAATTGGCCTTACACTGATTAAAAACTTACCAAAGAAAGACATTTTCCCATTAATTACATGGTGTGCTATAGTGGAACCACAAAAAGCCTCTGGCTCAGAAACTTTTATAAGGGAGTTCTGGTAACTATAAAGGAATAGATAATTCCCATCTTGTAAAATAGTTCAAGAAAGTAGGAAAAGAAGAACACTTCCCTAAAAAATTTTAATTAAAGAAAAATTATAAGCTTACTTTACTTATAGACACATAATTATAAATAAATATATTTGCTAACTAAATGACATACCAAACCCACTGCCATTGAGTCAATTCTAACTCATAGTGACTGTACAGGAAAGACTAAAACTGCCCCATAGAATTTTCAAGGCTGTAAATATTTACAGAAGCAGAGTGCTTCATCTTTCTCCCACAGAGTGGCTGGTGGATTCAAATCACCAACCTTTTGGTTAGCAGCCAATGCTTTAATCACAGTACCACCAGAGCTCCTTACCAAATGAAACAGCATGGTAACATTATAATAAATCATAATGAGGTAGAGTTTGTTGGAGAAATGCAAGTGTAGCTTAACATTAGAAAATGTGTAAGTTGTAATGTATTCGCTAATGGACCATTATCATGAATTTCTCAATGGATAAGAAGTGTTTCATAATGCTCTAAATGAATTTATAATTAAAAAAAAAAAAAAAAACACTTAGATAAGAATAGAGGGAAATATCCTTAACATGATAAAGGATTTATACTAAAGCACATATCATGTTTATAATCAAATTTTAGACATAGTCCTAATAGTGTCAGTGAAAGATCTGGGATGCATAAGAGCACTGTCACCACTTATCACTGGATGTACTAAACAATGTCATAGGAAAAAGAATTAAGTGTTGTATGAAAGGAGAGGAGGTTAGCACTCCCCTTGACAAGGATGGAAGAGGCCCTTGGGCCTTACAACATGCATACAGTTAAGGCATTCCCACTGACTTTGTGGCTTCTAACCATGTTTTTATTACATTGTGGGGAATTGCATTGTAGTCAATGTCATGAAACAAAATGTGTATGAACTCCTGTATGGAAAATGAATTTGCTCTGTAAACTTTCACCCAAATCACAAAAATTAAAACAAAAAAAGAATTAAGAGTAGTAATAGCTAAAATTATCTCAGATAATTTCAAATACAATTATTTGCAGGTAATATTAATATCAATATAGAACACCACCAAACTGAATTCACAGACCAACTATTACAACAAATAGGAAAATTCAGAAAAGTATTTACATATAAAGTCACCATACAAAAATCAAGAGAATTCCTCTTCATTGGTAATAATCAAATAAAAAATAAGATACAACTTAAATCAGCAACAAAACCTACATTCCATAGTTTTGTCAGTGTGTCAACTTGACTAGGTTACAGTCCCCACCTAATCTTGGTGTTGCTATGAAGGGAGTTTACAGATGTAAACAACTGCTTATTGGTCCAGTTGTAAGGATTTTTGTTTTCTTTATGTTGAGGTGTAATCCATACTGCAGACTGTAGTCTTTAATCTTCATCAGTAGTGCTTCAAGTTACCTTCACTTTCAGCAAGCAAAATTGTGTCTTCTGCACATTGCAGGTTGTTAATAATTCTTCCTCCAATCCTGATGCTCTATTCTTCTTCATACAGTCCAGCTTCTCAGATTATTTATGCAATGTACAGACTGAATAAACATGATGAAAGAACACAACTCTGAAACACTCCCTTCCTGATTTTAAATCATGCAGTATCCCCACATTCTGTTCAAATGACGCTTCCTTATCTGTATACAGGTTCTGTGTGAGCAGAATTAAAGGTCCTGGAATTCCCATTCCTCTCAATGTTATTCACAATTTGCTATGATCCACAAAATTGAATGCTTTTCTTAGTTAATAAAACACAAGTAAACATCTTTGTGGTGTTCTTTACTTTCAGCCAAGATCCATCTGACATCAGCAACCACATACCTTATTCCACATCCTCTTCTGAATCCAGCTTGCATCTTGGGGAGTTCCCTGTCAATGTACCACTGCAATCATTTTTGAATTATCTTCAGCAAGATTTTACTTGAGTGTGATATTAATGATATGTTCGATAATTTGCACATTCTGTTGGATCACCTTTTTTTGAAATGTGTACAAATATAAATCTCTTCCAGTCAGTTGACCAGGAAGCTGTCTTCCAAATCTCTTGACATAGATGTATAAGTGAACTCCAGTGCAGCATCCCTTTGTTGAAACATATTAATATTTTTGTCATTCCCTGGAGCCTTTTTGCCAATTCGTTCAGTGCAGCTTCAACTTCTTCCTTCATATTATCGGTTCTTGATCATATGCCACCTCCTGAAATAGATGAACATCAACTAATTCTTTTTGGTACAGTGACTGTGTTTTCCTACCATCTTCTTTTTATATATATTTCCTGTATCATTCAATATTTTGCACATAGAATCTTTCAATATTACAACTTGAGGCTTGAATTTTTTCTTCAATTCTTTCAGCTTGAGAAATGCTGAGCATGTTCTCTTCCCTTCTAGTTTTCCATCCTCAGGTCTTTGTACATTTCATTACAGTAACTGACTTTGTCTTTAAAGACAAAGAGCTACTCTTTGAAATCTTCTATTCAGCTTTTTTATCTTGTCATTTCTTGCATTTGCTTTAGTTACTCTCCATTCAAGAACAAGTTTCAGAGTCTCTTCTGTTATCCACTTTCGTCTTTTCTTCCTTTCCTGTCTTTTTAATCATCTTTTGCTTTCTTCATGATGTCATCCCATAATTCATCTGTTCTTCGGTCATTGATGTTCAATGCATCAAATCCATTCTTCAGATGGTCTCTAAATTCACGTGGTATATAATCAAGGTCATATTTTGGTTTTCATGGATTTGTTTTAATTTTCTTCAGCTTCAACTTGAACTTGCATATGAGCAATTGATGTCCTGTTCTGTAGCAGCTCCTGCCTTGTTTCGGCTGAAGATATTGAACTTCTTCATTGCCTCTCTCCCACAGATGTAGTTGATCTCATTACTTATATTCCATCTGGCAAGGTCCACGTATATAGCCACTGTTTATGTTGCTGAAAATAGGTATTTGCAATGAATAAGTCATTGGTCTTGCAAAATTCTATCATGTTATCTCCAGTATCATTTCTATCAACAAGGCCATATTTTCCAAATACTGGTGACTCTTCTTTGTTAACAACTTTCATATTCCAACCACCAGTAATAATGAACACATCTTGATTACATGTTTGGTCAATTTCAGACTGCAAATTTTGTAAAAATTCTTCAATTTTCTCATCTTTGGCTTTGGTGGTTGGTGTGTAAATTTGAATAATAGTAGTACTAATTGGTCTTCCTTGTAGATGTATGGTTATTATCCTATCACTGACAGAATTGTACATCTGGACAGATCTTGATACATTCTTTGTGACGATAAATGCCATTCAATTCCTCTTCAGTCTGTCATTCCCAGCATAGTAGATCATATGTTTGTTGGATTCAAAATGGCCCAAAACAGTCCATTTCAGCTTACTAATGCCTAGGATATCAATATTTATGTGTTTCATTCTGTTTTGACAACTTCCAAGTTTGCTAGATTCATACTTCATACATTCCATGTTCTGATTATTAATGTATGTTTGTAGCTGTTTCTTTCAATTTTGAGTTGTGGTACATCAGCAAATGGAGGTCCTAAAAGCTTTTCTCCATTCACATCATTAAGGTGAAGTCTACTTTGAGGAGGCAGCTCTTCCCCAGTTGTGGTAGTTACAGTTATGTGTCAACTTATTTGGGCCAGGTTTTGAGTGGCTGGGCAGCTGGATGTAGTTATTCCTCACAATGAGATTGGTATCAATTCCATGGTGGAATGTACTCGAGCAGCTGAATATCTGCCTTAGGAATGTGATCTGCTTCCAGAATACATGCAAAAGTTTTGAAAGAAGTCTCTGCAGCTTTTTGGCACACTTGCATCCTGCATGTATCCGAGTCTTGATCTAGCAGCCTGCTATGTTTTCCACCAATCATGGGACTGTCTCCAGACTTAACAACCTGCAGTGTTGTTTGGTAATACTGGGACTGTGCCATTTTATTTGTTGGCCTTGGGCTTGTTAGCCTCAGCAGCCAGCAATTGCCTGAGTGAAGAGACATCTCTAGCTCCATCAGGCCAGAAGCAAGAGACAGAGCTGAAGCCCAAGACTGAGGGGCTTTCACCCATCCCCTAGAGCTGGCACTTAGGACTTAGACTTCTATCCTCCTAAACTGTAAGAAAATAAATCCCTGTTTGTTAAGACCACCTACTTGTAGTATCTTCTGTTAGACTGACACTAGGTAACCAAACACCAATCATATTTTGAGTGCTTTTAGACCTGAGGGGCTCATCTTCTGGCACTATCAAACAATGGTTCAGGGCTATTCGTAAAGTTTTCCCATAACACATTGGACAGTGTTTCACTGCTTTCATAAGGTTTTCACTGGAAAATTCTTTGAGAAATTGACCCGTTCCTTCTTCTGACTCTGACTCTAAGTCTTTCTTAGACTAGAAGCTCTGCTGAAATCTGTCCACTTTGGTGGCCCTGCGAGTATCTGAGATACCAGTGGTATACCCTCCAGCAACATGCAAGTTACCACTCTACAACAAACTAACAGATGAGTGGTGGATATACTATGCGGCATATGAACACTGGTTCAATACATAAAGAAAAAAATAAAATATGGATCCCCACCATATATAAAGATGGTTGACAGGTAAAGTATGAAAGATAATAGTTTAACATTAATAAACTTATGGAACAATA